GGCCAGCGTCGCAGCAGCGCCGGGTTCAACGGCTTTGCGAAGGCTACGCGCTGGCGCGGGCCATGGGTCGCCAGCTCCGCGGCAAGCAGGACTGCGGCACGTGCGTCTTCTCGACGGCCGCGCCCGGGAATCGCGCTAATGCGCTTGGCGGACAATGCGTGTTCTGCACACCAGATCGCATGAAGGAGGCCGCGAGGGATACAATGAAACAGAAGCACGTCGTCGCCGCCTTGAAGAAGTTCGAGAAGGAGAAGCCCGCAGTCGAAGGTCAGAAGCCCGCGGTGTACGAGAAGGCGCCGGGCCGTCTCCGCAGGCACTTGACAGTGGGCGAGTTCAAAGACATCGTCACGCCGAAGCACTGCTGCCGCGGCGCCGGCGCGGACATGTGCCTCTTCAACACTAAATCCCCAGGGGCTCCGGCGAGAGTCCAGAAGGATGACAAGGGTCTCTGCAGCTGGTGCAATCCGGAGCGGCTGCGGGACATGCAGACGAGCAGGGCAGGCGGCGTGTTGGCGCAGCTCCAGGCGTTCCGGCAGAAGGACGCTGCCGTTGCCGCGAACGCCGAGGCGATTGCCAAGGAGATCCTGGAAGACGACTACATGGCCAAACTGCAGCAGAAACGCGCCAGGGCTCATCAGCAGCGGGCGCGGCATCTCCGGCGCAAGGGAGACCAGAAGAAGCATTGGGCCGAGGCGCTCAAGAAGCGCAAGCTGCAGAGGGAGTCGCCGCATGACGACCGGGAGACGCGGAAGAGGTACAGGGCGGGCGTCCTTGCCGACCAGAAGAAGGTCATGAACTCTTTCTTCCCAGACGAGGCCGATCGGAGAGCGCGGGGTCGCGCGGACGACGTCCCGGCGCCGGAGGACGCTCTCCCGCCGCTGAAGGACGCGACGCACTCCGACTTGTCTGCAGGCCTGCGCTCGTGGCTGGAGCGCGGTTCCTGGGGGAAGTGCGTGAAGTGCGGATGCCTGCAGCCTCGGCCAATGCACGAGATCGACTTGGCTGGCGACCCGAAGGTGGAGGTGCGCGAGAGCCAGTGTCGCCGCTGCAACGCGGCGCGGGATTACTGGGCGCCGACGCCAGACGATGTTCCTCGGGCGCTCCGCAATCTGTCCGACGTCATTGTCAAGGCCCTGAGGCCGATCGAGGTGGACGTGGGCCCGGAGACGCGCTCGACGGACTCGCTGGGGCGCTGGAACGGCTACCGCAAGAAGGTGAAGATGATCACCTTCTACTTCTCGAAGTGGCACGTGGAGGACAAGATCAAGGAGCTGGAGGGGAAGCAGGCGCGAAGCACAGCCAGGAAGGCGCACAGGTATTTGCTCTCGTGCGAGGAGTCAGCGTACCGGCGGTTCCACGACATGCACGAGAAGTTCATTGCCAAGCACGGGGAAGACTCGGCGGACAGACAGAGAAGACGCCCGTACCATTTCCTCCAGGAGGTCGGCCTCGAGTGCGCGTTGTGGCCCAACCTGTACTGGCGCACGGACATGACAGAGACCCACACGTGCGGCGCGAAGAGAATCGCGAGGCGAAGGACCCGAAGAAGAAGCGCGCCAAGTACGGCTACGACAGCGATGACTCCGATGCAGACGACGGGCATGGCAAGTGCGGCGCGGACGAGCTGGAGCAGGGCGACGACGGAGGGCAACGCACCAGTGTCAAGCGCTCTTTCATGGCGAAGTGCCTCTCTGACCTGATTGGGTATCAAAGCGACTTCGAGCTTTTCCAGTTCGTCTTCGACTTGAACCTCTGGGCTACTTTAGGGGCGAAGAAAAATTTGAACTTGGAGAACGTGCCAATGCGCATCCGCATGAAGGGCCACCCGTTTTCGCCGCTGTACTGGAAGGACACGCTGAACGCGCTCGTGGACCTCGTTCGACAGGTGGGGCTGCCCAAGCTGTTCTTCACGATAGCGCCGTGGGAGCAGTCTTTCCCGTACCACGAGTGGCTCCGCGACGAGATGCACAAGACGCTGAGGACGAGGATGCGCTTGCCCGTGGGCGAGACCCTGCACATCACCCACTCGCTCATGCAGATCGTCCGCGGCGCCATCGCAGGCAACAACCAGCAGAGCCAGGATCGGGCTGATCGAAGGTGGAAGAAGCACGTCTTCTCCCGCAAGACCGAGGACGGCAAGACGACGAAGACTGTCACGTCGTTCACGCGCTTGGAGTTCCAGGACGGGAGCCGCAAGGAGGGGACGAAGCGCTACGACGGATCAGGGCGCCCACATTTGCATGTTCTGTTCTTCGCGGAAGAAGACGTCCTGGCCGACGCCAAGCTCGAGCGGCACCTCTTCGCTTCGAAGCCTGATGAGTTCAGCGAGCACCTGAAGGGCTACATCGACGGCTCGCAGTTGGACAAGCGGGGCGCTTCCGAGAGCAAGTGGCCTGTGTACAGTGGAGAGCCAGGGTACCATATTCAAGCAGAGAAATTATTGCTCCAGCATTCCCAGGCCGACAAGGCAGCGGGACTCCGCGCTTTCTGTGTAGACGTCATGGACGCGGTCCCCATCCACCAGGACTGGTTGGAATCGGATGGGGAGTCGCTGCTTTTGCAATACGTCACGAAGTACGTGGCGAAATTCTCGGACTCGAGCTACGACGAGTGGATGAATGACCAGGCGTCCGCGGACAGCGTGGCCCGCAGAGTCTGCTTCGAGTACCACCCGTACGAGCCCGAGATGATTCTGCAGCTCTGCGGTGCGCAGTTCCGCCAGGTCGACATCTCCACGGTCAGCGGAGGGTGGAGGTCGGTGACAGCTCCTTACGCCGGCATGGCGGAGACGCCCGCGTGGGTGGAGAAGTACGCCACCTGCGAGTGGCGGAGCGAGGAGATGTGCCTGCTGGAGTGGCTGCGGAAGACGAACGACGATGGCGGGATTGCTGGGTGGCTGAAAGCTCGCCACAAGGCGGCTCTATACGAGGCCGCGTACCAGCATCACTGCGCCACGTTGACGCCCGGAGGAGAGCCGCCGTCGCCCGCGGGATTTCGCAGCGATCTCCGAAAGCAGTACAAGCAGAGCGGCGAGGGTGCCCCGTTCTTGGTGTGGATGGAGGAGATGTCCGTGCGCGCGGGCGCGAGCGCCGCCGAGTTCCCCTCGCTGGAGGAGTTCGCGCGGGACTACGTCGTGAGAGGCGAGAAGATAGTCGCGGTGGACACGGTGTTCGAGTTCAACGACCCGTACTACGGGCAATGGGCGGCCATGAACGTGCCGTTCCGGGACTTGGAGGATTTGCGATTCGACGTGGTGGACAAGCTCGTGCCGGCGAAGTTCCGGCACCTCGCCGCGGCGCTGAAGCTCTGCGCCGATCGCAGCAGAGTCCCCGAGGAATTCCGCGAGCTGTTCGTCGACGAGAGGAAGTGCATGGATCACATGAAAAGCGCGGCGAGCTCCCAGAAGTTCAGCGAGAGCGTATACCGCATGATTGTCGGGCAGCGGAAGCTCATCGACATGTACCTCACGGGGGTCCTGGACAAGAACGACGAGAGAACCGCGCGGGACGCCGAGGCCGCCGTGACCGGGGGCCGCCGGCAGGCGCGCGATGGAGCGCAAGCAGAAGTGACCTTCCTTCGGAAGCAGTTGCACTTCGAGGAGACGGTCAACGAGAGCGTGGGCCGCGCCCTGCAGGCGAATCATTCGGAGAACTGGGAGGAGGCAGACGAGGCGCGCGAGGAGGCTTTCCAGAAGAACAAACCGATAGTATGCCTCGGAAAGCCAGGGACGGGGAAGACCACGGTCGTAAAGTGCTGCATCCGCCGCGCGCAGGAGCGAGGCGCCCGCGTCCTGTTCGCCCTCCCGACGGCGCAGCTGTCGAGTCGCATGAAGCAGGTCTTGCAGGACCTGGAGAGCGTAGAGATCGCGACGTGCCATGCGGCGTTCAAGCTGAACCAACCCATCACAGAGGCGCTCCCGCTGATGACCATGTACGACCTGGTCGTCGTGGACGAGGTGTCGCTCTTGGACTGCCCGCAGTTCGAGCGACTGATCAAACTGTGGAGCGTGGCAGAGAGAGTGCCCGCGCTGGTCTTCCTTGGGGATAAGTACCAGCTGCCGGGGGTTGGAGAGACGCGTCCGTGGGAGAGCGCTGCGTGGCCTCGCCCGAATTGCTACCACGTGAAACTGGACGAGACGTGGCGCTGCAAGGAGGAACGCTTCCAGCACATCCTGGACGAGCTCCGCACGAGCAAGCCGTCGAAGGAAACGCTGCAGAAGATCTGTCGCGGACACATGGCATGGAAGATCGGCGCGCCGACTCCGGCAGACCTGAAGGCGCTGTTCGAGAAACACCCGGAGACGCGGATTGTGACCTGCACGCGCAAAGGCGCCGCCACCGTGAATGAGGCCGCCATCGTTGCTCTGCACGGCCGGAAGAGTCCCCTGGGTACGCTCCCCGGTGACGTGGAGCTGAATCCGGAGAACTATTGGGACGGCAAATTTCGCACGGACCGCCGGCCCATTCCAAGCGCAGTTCCCGTGCACAAGAAGATGAAGGTCTACTTGACGAAGAACGTGCGCAAAGAGGATGACTACGTGAACGGCATGCTCTGCGAGGTGGAGAATTATCATGCCGACGAGGACATGCTGCGCGTGCGCACCAAAACGGGCCACCGCCTGGCGATCTCTAGGTGGACCGATCGGGACAAGGGAAACGCCGTGTACTTCCCCATCCGCCCGGGGTATGCCAGCACAATAGACAAGGTGCAAGGAGATGAATTTCCTCACACCACGATTTACCTGGACGGGTATCCGAGGCCGGCGGCGGGGTACACGGCCTTGAGCCGCGTTGCCACTTCGGATGACTACTTGATCGGCGGCCACGTAGAACGGGAGAGCTTCATTCCGGCCTTCTGAAACCTGAGAGGCGGAATTTCAGGATGGGGACCGCGGCGGCTCGCCACGGCCGGACGCGCGCCTTGCCCAGCGCCGCTCGCAGCAGCGACGCAGCGGCATCTGTCGAGCGGGACTGAAGTCGTTCTTTGCGCTGCGCGGCAGGATGGAGAAAAAATCAGATGCAAGAATGTTGCAGGGCCTGAGAATCTCCGAGGAGCCGGGAGACCGCCGAAGACCCGCGGGAATGCAGGCTCGTGAAGACTGCCGAAGACTGAGCGTGTAGAGCGTTGAAGATCTCTGAAAATCCGTTAGACCGCCGAAGACTTGCGAGCATGTCAGGCGACGGGCGAAGACCCTGAAGACCGCCGATGCACGGCGGGATCGGATGGCACGGGAGAGCGCAAAATGTAAAGACATGAATTTGGAGACAATACCACAGCAGGGCCGCCAGAAGGCCGGGGCGTCGTCTGGCGTCGAAGACTTCGGAAAAGCTGGAAAACCGCCGAAGGCTCGTGAGTACGTCTGAAGACCCGCGAAGACCCCGGCAGACTTGTGATGCACGTTACGAGCGGACAGCACGGAAGCATAATATCAAAAAACAATGGGGTATGGTGCAAGCAGTATCGGAGCAGGAGCGGGCGTGGCGCCCCTCGCACTTCGGGATGCCTTTGCATATCAGTGGATGCCCAGGATCCAGGTTTCCTTAGAATCTGTTCCAGAAGTCTTCGGAAGCCCAGAGAATGCGAGCGGCGGGAGGGGGAGCGCGAGGGGGCGGGTCTGGCGCCCCCTCGCATCGCGAGCGCATGCTTGGTGCCGAGCGTCCGGATTTCGTGACGAATCGCTTCAGAACGTTTAGACAAGCCCAGGAGAGCCGCGTTCTGAATTTTCAAAAGGCTTGCAAGCCTTAAGAACGCCGAATGCAGGATTTGCATACGATTTGCAGCCCCAGGGCGTGGCGCCGCCCGCATGCGTGGCGCACGTTGAATTATTTGGATTTCCTTTCAAATTGTTCGGCACACTTGGAAAGCTCCAAGAGCGCCGCATGCTGTATTTCTATAAGTTGTGAAGGTCCCAGGGGCCCCGAAAGCTGTATTTTCATAGGGTTTGCAGCCCCAGAGGATGTATGCCGCCGTGGAAGAGCTTGGAAGCGCTTGGAAGCGCTTGGGAGCGCTTCGCAAGGTGCTGAGAGTAGCAGGGAACGCGAGAGCGCCTGGGAGCGCTTGGGAGCACTTGGGAGCGCCTGGGAACGCGCCGGGAGCGCCTGGGAGCGCCTGGGAGCGCCTGGGAGCGCCTCGGCGCGCTTGGGAGCACCTGGGAGCACTTGGGAGCGCCTGGGAGCGCTTGGGAGCGCCTGGGAGCGCCTGGGAGCGCCTGGGAGCGCTTGGGAGCGCCTGGGAGCGCTTGGGAGCGCCTGGGAGCGCCTGGGAGCGCCTGGGAGCGCTTGGGAGCGTTTGGGACGTGCGCCAGAGGCAGCCGAAGAGGCGATGCTGTAATTTCATACGTTTGGAGCACCCAGAGAGCACCGCATGCTGTATTTTCATAGGTTTGGAGCCCCAGGGGATGTAGCGGATCGTAGGGGACCCGCTTGCTAGGGCTGAAGGTTAGGGGTTCCTTTTCTTAGGAGAACACCACGGGGATGCACCGCGCGGCGTGCGAATGCCTCCTCAGCGGCTATCGCCGCTTCGTCGGTGCGGCGCACGCTGTATGGGCAGGCTCGCTGAGCGCTCGGCCAGGCGCCACGGGCTTCTGACGATGCACCGCCCGTGGCTTGCAGTTTAGGGCTTCTCTTAGCGCAGCGGCCGACAGTCCAGGCAATGCTGCCCCCCCTTCGGCAAGCTTGATTGGGGGGGCGGTTAGCCGACCCGAGCAAGCTTGGCGAAGGGAGCAGGAGTTGCAACATCTTCCCACCCCCGGCCGCATGGCCGGCGACCTCCCAAACTAAAGCCTTTTAGGGTTTAGGGCCGCTGGCCCTTAAATTCCCAAATGGCTCCAAGCGCTCCCAGGCGCTCCCAAGCGCTCCAAGGCGCCCCCATGCGCTCGCACGCGCTCCCAGGCGGTCCCAGGCGTTCCCAGGCGCTCCCAGGCGCTCTCAGGCGCTCCCGGGCGCGCCCAGGCGTTCCCGGCACGCCCCCAGGCGCTCCCAGGCGCTCGCAGGTGCTCCCAGGTGCTCCCCGGCGCTCCCAGGCGCTCCCCGGCGCTCCCAAGCGCGTCCCGGCGCTCCCAGGCGCTTCCCGCGCTCCCAGGCGCTCCCAAGCGTTCCCAGGCGCACCCAGGCGCTCCCAGGCGCTCCCAGGCGCTCCCAGGCGCTCCTCCCAGGCGCTCCCCGGCGCTCCCAGGCGCTCCCCGGCGCTCCCTCCCAGGCGCCCCCAAGCGTCCCAGGCGCTCCCAGGCGCTCCCAGGCGCTCCCAAGCGCTTCCAGGCGCTCCCAAGTGCGGCCAGAAGCGCTTAGAGCGCGCCACACGTATTTTTACGTGTCGGAGACATGTAGAGCACCATCCGAGGACGAAAGGTCCCCGGGTTTAGGGTGTTGTATTCTTCGAGGATCAAGCATGGTTTATCTTTGCATCGTAGATCCCCAAGCGTGGGGCTAGGTAGCCCTAGGCTACCAAGACGACCCAGTCGGGCAACCAGCTGAAGCATCTCAGAGAAGCCCTGTCTCTCGTAGACGGCGACGGTGATGCGCGGTGGGTGGGCAGATGCACAACGAGGTGCTCGGGAATTTAGGGCCTGCATTGGCGCAAGCGCGCGCTGGCTGCGACCCCCCCCACATCAAGGTTGTTGGGGGGGATCGCTGCCCAAGCCGCGCGCGCCACGGTTAGTCGCACCCCCGCCCCAGACCACCCAGAGTGAAGCCTTTTAGGGTTTAGGGTTTCTCCCCCCAACCCCCCTATCACGGGGGGCTGTCGAAGTGTTGCGCGCGGGCGATCGCCGACGCGGCCGTGGCACTGCGCATCCACTTGAGCATGCGCGCAGGGCGCGTGGCGTAGGCGGCGCTTCGGCGCGTCGCCCCGTCGAAGAGGCAGCCTTTGGCGATTTCGGTGTTGAGCTTCGCCGTTGGGCTGCCGCTGGCGCAGCATGTCCATGCGTTGCCGCCTTTGCCTTCGGCACTGGATTGCGACACTGGGCTGCGAATGCTGGGATGCGCGCGCGCGGCCGCGGCCGTAGCAATGCGCGCCGATGCGAGCACGCGCGCAGGGTGCATGGCGCTGGCGCGTCAGGTTGCCTCGTCGATGAGGCAGCCGTTTGCACCCTCGGCGTGGAGCTTCGCCGGTGGGCTGCCGCTGGCGCAGCAGTTCCATAGGGGTCCGGCATTTCCTTTCGGCAATGGAAAGCAGCACTGCGAAGGCGCTGACGCGGCAATCCCATGGTTTCCCGCGGGCCTCGAGCGAGTGGATGCGCCCTCGGGCTCCTCGCTGACGGCGACGCGCACGGCAGTTGCATTCGCCCGCGGCTTTGGGTTTCGCCTTTGGGGTCGCCCCCCCGCTGAAGCGATTGCAATCATCGGCGCAGCCGCCTTCGGCGCGAGCTTCGGACGGCTGGAGGGGGAGCGCGAGGGGGTGGGTCTGGCACCCCCTCGCTACGATGCGCGCGCATGGCTGCGGCAGCACCTCCATGGCAGAGCCCGTGGAATGCCTTGGAGGGCCATCTGGCAGCGCTGGGAGAGCACCTGGAGCTTCCCCCATGAGCCCTGGGACTGCCTGGAACCGCCCGGGCACGCTTGGGGGCGCGCGGGAGCGCATGGGAGCGCCGCGTGGCGCCTTGGAGCGCTTGTGGGCGCTGAAAAGCGCGTGGGAATGCTTGGGCGCCTGGGAGCACCTGGGAGCGTAGGGGAGCGCTTAGGAGCGCTTCGGAGTTGTGGCAGCGCTGGAAATGGTGCGGAGCGCCTGCGAGCGCCTGGGAGCGCGCCAGGAGCATGCCGGGAGCGATTGGGAGCGCCTGCGAGCGCCTGGGAGCGCCCGGGGGCGTGCCGGGAGCTCTTGGGAGCGTCTGGGAGCGCAGCCAGCGCGCGCCTGGGAACGCGCCTGGGTGCGTGCCGGGAGCGCCCAGGAGCGCTTGGGAGCGCTTGGGAGCGCTCGGAGCGCCTGGGAGCGCTTGGGAGCGCGTGGGAGCGTGCCGAGAGCGCCTGGGAGCGTGCTGGGAGCGCCTGAAGCGCCGTGGAGCGCTTGGGAGCGTGCCGGGAGCGCTTGGGAAAGCTTGGAAGCGCCTGGGAGCGCTTGGGAGCGCTTGGGAGCGCCTGGGAGCGCCTGGGAGCGCCTGGGAGCGCCTGGGCACGCCGGGCACGCCTCGGGCGCTCGTCAGCGCTATCTCCGAGCTATCTTTGAAGGACGCCACCGCCGGCGCCTTCGCTGTAGCCTTTGCACCCGCTGCGGCCGCCGCCCACGCCAGGCGTGCCTCGGGCGCTCGTGAGCGCTATCTCCGAGCTATCTTTGAAGGACGCCACAGTCGGCGCCTTCGGTGTAGCCTTTGCGCCCGCTGCGGCCGCAACCCACGCCGGGCGTGCCTCGGGCGCTCGTGAGCGCTATCTCCGAGCTATCTTTGAAGGACGTCACCGTCGGCGCCTTCGCTGTAGCCTGCGCGCCCGCTGCGGCCGCCGCCCACGCTTGGCGTGCCTCGGGCGCTCGTGAGCGCTATCTCCGAGCTATCTTTGAAGGACGCCACAGTCGGCGCCTTCGCTGTAGCCTTTGCGCCCGCTGCGGCCGCCGCCCACGCCAGGCGTGCCTCGGGCGCTCGTGAGCGCTATCTCCGAGCTATCTTTGAAGGACGCCACAGTCGGCGCCTTCGCTGTAGCCTTTGCGCCCGCTGCGGCCGCCGCCCACGCCAGGCGTGCCTCGGGCGCTCGTGAGCGCTATCTCCGAGCTATCTTTGAAGGACGCCACAGTCGGCGCCTTCGCTGTAGCCTTCGCGCCCGCTGCGGCCGCCGCCCACGCCAGGCGTGCCTCGGGCGCTCGTGAGCGCTATCTCCGAGCTATCTTGAAGGACGCCACAGTCGGCGCCTTCGCTGTAGCCTTTGCGCCCGCTGCGGCCGCCGCCCACGCCAGGCGTGCCTCGGGCGCTCGTGAGCGCTATCTCCGAGCTATCTTTGAAGGACGCCACAGTCGGCGCCTTCGCTGTAGCCTTTGCGCCCGCTGCGGCCGCCGCCCACGCCAGCGTGCCTCGGGCGCTCGTGAGCGCTATCTCCGAGCTATCTTTGAAGGACGCCACAGTCGGCGCCTTCGCTGTAGCTTTTGCGCCCGCTGCGGCCGCAACCCACGCCAGGCGTGCCTCGGGCGCTCGTGAGCGCTATCTCCGAGCTATCTTTGAAGGACGCCACAGTCGGCGCCTTCGCTGTAGCCTTTGCGCCCGCTGCGGCCGGCCGCAACCCACGCCAGGCGTGCCTCGGGCGCTCGTCAGCGCTATCTCCGAGCTATCTTTGAAGGACGCCACAGTCGGCGCCTTCGGTGTAGCTTTTGCGCCCGCTGCGGCCGCAACCCACGCCAGGCGTGCCTCGGACGCTCGTCAGCGCTATCTCCGAGCTATCTTTGAAGGACGCCACAGTCGGCGCCTTCGGTGTAGCCTTTGCGCCCGCTGCGGCCGCCGCCCACGCCGGGCGTGCCTCGGGCGCTCGTGAGCGCTATCTCCGAGCTATCTTTGAAGGGCGCCACCGTCGGCGCCTTCGCTGTAGCCTTTGCGCCCGCTGCGGCCGCCGCCCACGCCAGGCGTGCCTCGGGCGCCCGTCACCGCTGTATCCGAGCTATCTTTGAAGGACGCCACAGTCGGCGCCTTCGCTGTCGCCTTTGCGCTCTCTGCGGCCGCCGCCCACGCCAGGCGTGCCTCGGGCGCTCGTCAGCGTTATCTCCGAGCTATCTTTGAAGGACGCCACAGTCGGCGCCTTCGCTGTAGCCTTTGCGCTCGCTGCGGCCGCGGCCCGCGCCAGGCGTGCCTCGGGCGCTCGCCAGCGCTATCTCCGAGCTATCTTTGAAGGACGCCACAGACGGCGCCTTCGGCCTCGCCCCCGCGCTCGCTCGCGGAAGTTCCGAAGGCATTGGCCTTGTTTCGGTCGTCGCAGGGTTCTGTCCTAAGCGATGTAGTGTCAGCACAAGTTGCACACAGCTGTGGCCATTCACAGACTCGGGAGAGGAGAGGCGACGCACGGGCAGTGTTGGAGAGTGCGTTTTATGGCATGACACGCGCGCGTGTTCGCAGGTTGGAAGGGGGAGAGCGAGGGGGAGGGTCTGGCTCCCCCTCGCGCACTGTTGAAATGAACATGCGTTGCCAGGGACCAGTTGCTCGCGCACAGGTCCAGGAGACATTTTCGAACACATCTTTCGCAGAGGACAGTAGACACAGATGTATTGGCGATGTGCTGCAGTAGTCATTCAGAGGAGGGAGTGTTTCAAATGGATGGAGAGATGCATGGGCGGTGCAGTTCCCAACGGCAGGCGTCGGGCATGCAGGATGATCCCCGTTGTTCGAATGTCTGTGAGCCAATGCAGAAGAGCGCGGATGCAATTTGCGAGCTTTGGGTGCGAGATGCATTGGCGATGCGCCCCAGTAGGTCGCATTTGCATGCGCGTGCGCAGATGAGAGGGGGGAGCGCGAGGCGGAGAGGGGAGCTCCAAGTGTGGGCGCGGTCGCACGCTGGAAAGCGCAGTAGAGCGGCGCGCGCTGGCCGGTGCATGGGCGATGCGTCGAAGAACGGCGTGTGCGGTGGCACCGGAAGGATGCATCGGGGTTGCAAGTGTCGACGCCAGGCTGCGGGGCCATGGTGCTCTTGCTGATGTTTCTGTGCGCGCGTAGGCGATGGCGGATGCCAGTTGAGCTGCAGGAGAACCGGCACGCACAGTGCCGAGGGAGCGTCAGCGGGCGACACGCTGCGGAGATGCATCGGCGCTGCGTAGAAGTGAGGATGTTTCACAGAACAGATTATAAGCATCGGCGGTGATTTTCTCCAACGCATAAGTCAGGCGTGCGCATTCATTACGCTTGGTTCATTCTCTGCGAGCGGGCACGGGAGACAGCGTATGCCATTTGGGCTCAAGCAAAGACGCGAGGGCGCTCGGCGTTGCTTTCAGCATCTGGACACCCACGCACGGCGGCGCGCCGCCTAGACGTAGTCAGCTCGTCGGCATGGGCAAGGGCTGGGGCGCCAGGGCCAAGGGCGGCCGCGGCAAGGGCAAGGCAGGAGAGGACAAACCCAAGCTGAAGGTGGTGGACGAGTGGAACCACCTGGTGAAGAAGGTCTACAAATCGTACCCCGACAAGGACGTGGGTGGGTCCATTAAGTACGGCGGGAAGAAGCTCTTCCGCGTCGACACGCTGCAAGAGTGGAACACTCCCGACTATTGCGAGCTCACCGCGCGGACGCCGCAGGGGTTGAACCTCACCTTTGCCACGCTCGCGGAGTCGCTCCCGGCGGTTGCCGCCGCGGGCCGCCAGGACGAGTGCACGGGTTTCCAGCAGCTGGCAGATCTTTTTGATGAGGCTACTTTGCGCCCGCTGGCGGAGCTTGCCCAGTTCGACGCCGAAGGCGAAAAGGAGGACCGCCAGGATGCCGTCCAGAAGTTGCTCGAGTTCGCGGGCGACAAAGACGAGGTCGCGAAGCGGCTGAAGGCTCTCGGGACCGTCGCCGACACCGCCACGCGCCTGTGGGCGTTTGCGGCAGGCATGGGCCAGCTGATCGCCGCCGCCCAGGACCCGAAAGAATGGGCCGATAAGGTGGCGGAGCCCGACAAGCAGCACAAGAGCCTCAAGTCCTGGCTGGACAGGCCGAAGAGGCTCGACAAGTTGGCGGAGGCGACGATTGCGGCGTACGAGGACCGCTTCTACTGGGGTGGCAAGAAGAGGCGGTGGCAGAGGTACGGCAAGAGTGACGCTTCCGAGGAGGAGTCTGGCGACGATTCTAGCGGTTCTTCGAGCTCGAAGTCCAAGCAGAAGAAGAACAAGAAGAAGAACTCGAAGAAGAAGAGGGACAAGAAGAGCAAGAAGAAGAGCAGCAGCAGTTCGTCCTCTTCGTCCGAGGCGAAGAAGAAGAAGACGGTCAAGAAGGAGAAGACCAAGAAGAAGAAGAAGAAGAGAGGCAGCTCGTCGTCTGCCTCGGAGTCTGCGCCCAAGAAGAAGAAGGACAAGAAGGTGAAGAAGCGCTCCAACTCCTCGGAGGAACCGGAGCCCAAGAAGCCGAAGGACGAGAAGAAGGACTCGAAGGATAACGGCACGGACGACAAGATCACGCCAAAGGAGGAGGCGTTCACGCAGTGGTCTCTCTCGGCCGCGCAACGGGTTGCCGCCGACGCAGAGACGTGCGCCACCGGCGCGTACACGCTGGAGGACTTGAAGAAGCTGTTCGAGTCCGTGCCGGAGCCCGTGCGTGAGCTGGCAGGGGTATCGACGTTTCTCTTGGAGCTGGCCGAGATGAAGACCGCCCCGCCGATCGCCACTGCGCGGGAGCCCCTGACGGCACTCAAGACGGTCGGGATTCAGTGCGAGAAGTGTTGCAGCTCCCAGCAGGCGCCCGCTGGCAGCTCGGGCGGGAGCGGCAGCGGCGGGGCCGCCCCGGCGGCGACGGCAGCGCCTGCACCCAAGGCCGCGGCGAAGCCGGCGGCGAAGGCGAAGGACAAGCCGGCGCCAAAGGTAGATGAGAAGAAGAGCTGATGCCTCCAGGAGCACGGAAGAGGGCGGGCGCCTGTGAGTCGGCCGTGCGCGGAGCACACGGTGCGCATTGGGAAGAATGGCTCAGGGATGGATACGATAATCTGAATGAGAGAGGTGGGGAGGGATGCGCAGCGCGCAGGCGCTCGGGCAGCGTTGAGAGTACCACAGGCACTGTGTCAAGTATGTGGTGTTAGAAGACCTGGTCAGCACCCCGCCAGGCGTTTTCCTCAATCGGGGTAGCAGTTCAACAGACGCGGCAGCAACCGACACGCACGTTGATGAGCTTGTGAGGGTTCAGCTGATGCGTTGGGTATTCGCACACATAGTCGTTCTCGTGGTCGTGGTCGTTCCGGCGCGGTAGTCCAGAAGCTCGTCGATGCATCGGGGATGCGCGCGAGAGTGCAGAAGCTTGGTGAAAGGTTTTGTGTCGCGCGGCTGGCCGCGACGCGTCGGCGATGCATTCCGCGGGCACTTGCGTCCCAGAACAGTGTCTCATAGAGCATGTCAGAAGCGTTGTCAGGAGACGTCGGCACGGGCGCCCCCGACACGGGCAATCGCACGCAGCGCTGCATACATGCATGTGTTAAGTTTGGTAGGATGGTGATTGCTTTGATAGCATCGCAGGCACTGTGGTTTCAGGATGTAGCATTGTTGCGCCTCAGGAAAGCCGAATCCAGAGGAAGCGCTTTGCATGTCGCGTGGGGAGCTTTTGATGCGTGGACAGGATTCCAGAGAGGACATTCGGAAGGCCATGGATGCATCGGAGATGCGCCTCGGGAGCTCCCGAAGCGAAGTGAAGATTATGGTGCATCGCGAAGAGGAATTGTTCGATGCGTCGGTGATGCATTCCGACGGCGCAGTTCTCGCCAGAGCAGCATGTCAGACGCGCGGAGTGGGGCACTTCGGAAGAGGCGGCCACGATGCGGGTAGGCGCGCACTGCGCTTCATGCATGTCTCTGCCACGCATGCCAGTCGCAGCGTCGTCTTTGTGCAAGGAGCGTCTCCACCCGCAGCAGTCGAGGTCTTGGCCATGCGGTCCAGTTGCCGTCGGTGTATGGTAGGGAGCTTGGATTATGGTGCATCGCGACAAGGGATTGCGTGATGCGTCGGTGATGCGTTCCGAGGGCGCAGTTCTCGCAGGTTGGAAGGGGGAGAGCGAGGGGGAGGGTCTGGCTCCCCCTCGCGCACGATTTACATGAACATGCGTTGCCAGGGACGAGTTGCTCGCGCACAGGTCCAGGAGACATTTTCGAACATATCTTTCGCAGAGGAGAGTAGAGAGAGATGTATTGGCGATGTGCTGCAGTAGTCATTCGGAGCAGGGAGTGTTTCAAATGGATGGAGAGATGCATGGGCGGTGCAGTTTCCAACGGCAGGCGTCGGGCATGCAGGATTATCCCCGTTGTTCGAACGTCTGTGAGCGAATGCAGGAGAGCGCGGATGCAATTTGCGAGCTTTGGGTGCGAGATGCATTGGCGATGCGTCCCAGCATGTCGCAGTGGAGGCATGTGGTGAAATCCCGCATGGAAGGACAGCGTCGGAACATTTGTATTGGAGTCGCGGCTCTCACTTTCCTGATAGGAGCAGCAGGCAGCGGCCTCTTCCAGATGCACGATGCATTGGCGATGCGCCTCAATGGCCCGCGGTAGATGGTGGAATGCTGGTTGCGCTCCTGAGGGGGCTCTCGACGCAGCGGCGATGCATCGCGGGATGACGCATAGAAATGCTGGAGCATGTGCTCTGGCACGCCGCCGTTGCCATTTGGGCTCAGGAGAGATCTGCAACGCTCCCCGATTGTCTGGCAGGCGCACCCGCCGCCATCAGTCTGCGCAGTTTCTTGACATTGGTACTTGTCGCGCAGTCTCACCATGGGGCCGCGTCGCTGCGAGGGATTCGTCATGGGGGACGGCGCCGTGATGGAGTGCCGCTTCAATCCGCACGAGGCTGGGAAGAAGGCGCAGGCCAAGTTCAACGGTCGCTGCATGTGGTGCTCGCCGGTGCGCCTCGAGACGGTCTGCAAGGACGCGCGGCAGTCCAAGTTGGCGGCGAGGTTCTTGGTCATTCTGAACGACTTGGACAACGGCATCTTCGACGTGGCCGTGGAGCGTCTCGCCGCCCACGAGAACGGAGGCGACGTCGTTGACCGCGCCAACGCCATCCTGGCCGAGCGCGGGGAGCTCGCGGACGGGGCGGCAGAGGCAGCGGCGCCGCTCGAGGAACGGCCGCCCGATGACGAAGATGCGCCAGAGTTCCCGCCTCAGCCGGCGCCCTTGCCTCAGGCGCTGGCGCTGGACCCGCGGCCAGCGTCGCAGCAGCGCCGGGTTCAACGGCTTTGCGAAGGCTACGCGCTGGCGCGGGCCATGGGTCGCCAGCTCCGCGGCAAGCAGGACTGCGGCACGTGCGTCTTCTCGACGGCCGCGCCCGGGAATCGCGCTAATGCGCTTGGCGGACAATGCGTGTTCTGCACACCAGATCGCATGAAGGAGGCCGCGAGGGATACAATGAAACAGAAGCACGTCGTCGCCGCCTTGAAGAAGTTCGAGAAGGAGAAGCCCGCAGTCGAAGGTCAGAAGCCCGCGGTGTACGAGAAGGCGCCGGGCCGTCTCCGCAGGCACTTGACAGTGGGCGAGTTCAAAGACATCGTCACGCCGAAGCACTGCTGCCGCGGCGCCGGCGCGGACATGTGCCTCTTCAACACTAAATCCCCAGGGGCTCCGGCGAGAGTCCAGAAGGATGACAAGGGTCTCTGCAGCTGGTGCAATCCGGAGCGGCTGCGGGACATGCAGACGAGCAGGGCAGGCGGCGTGTTGGCGCAGCTCCAGGCGTTCCGGCAGAAGGACGCTGCCGTTGCCGCGAACGCCGAGGCGATTGCCAAGGAGATCCTGGGAGACGACTACATGGCCAAACTGCAGCAGAAACGCGCCAGGGCTCATCAGCAGCGGGCGCGGCATCTCCGGCGCAAGGGAGACCAGAAGAAGCATTGGGCCGAGGCGCTCAAGAAGCGCAAGCTGCAGAGGGAGTCGCCGCATGACGACCGGGAGACGCGGAAGAGGTACAGGGCGGGCGTCCTTGCCGACCAGAAGAAGGTCATGAACTCTTTCTTCCCAGACGAGGCCGATCGGAGAGCGCGGGGTCGCGCGGACGACGTCCCGGCGCCGGAGGACGCTCTCCCGCCGCTGAAGGACGCGACGCACTCCGACTTGTCTGCAGGCCTACGCTCGTGGCTGGAGCGCGGTTCCTGGGGGAAGTGCGTGAAGTGCGGATGCCTGCAGCCTCGGCCAATGCACGAGATCGACTTGGCTGGCGACCCGAAGGTGGAGGTGCGCGAGAGCCAGTGTCGCCGCTGCAACGCGGCGCGGGATTACTGGGCGCCGACGCCAGACGATGTTCCTCGGGCGCTCCGCAATCTGTCCGACGACATTGTAAAGGCCCTGAGGCCGATCGAGGTGGACGTGGGCCCGGAGACGCGCTCGACGGACTCGCTGGGGCGCTGGAACGGCTACCGCAAGAAGGTGAAGATGATCACCTTCTACTTCTCGAAGTGGCATGTGGAGGACAAGATCAAGGAGCTGGAGGGGAAGCAGGCGCGGAGCACAGCCAGGAAGGCGCACAGGTATTTGCTCTCGTGCGAGGAGTCAGCGTACCGTTGGTTCCACGACATGCACGAGAAGTTCATTGCCAAGCACGGGGAAGACGCGGCGGACAGAAAGAGGAAACGCCCGTACCATTTCCTCCAAGAGGTCGGCCTCGAGTGCGCGTTGTGGCCCAACCTGTACTGGCGCACGGACATGACAGAGACCCACGAGCAGTGGTCTGACGTGCGGCGCGAAGAGAACCGCGAGGCGAAGGACCCGAAGAAGAAGCGCGCCAAGTACGGCTACGACAGCGATGAGTCCGATGCAGAAGACGGGCATGGCAAGTGCGGCGCGGACGAGCTGGAGCAGGGCGACGACGGAGGGCAACGCACCAGTGTCAAGCGCTCTTTCATGGCGAAGTGCCTCTCGGATCTGATTGGATATCAAAGCGACTTCGAGCTTCTCCAGTTCGTCTTCGACTTGAACCTCTGGGCTACTCTAGGAGCGAAGAAAAATTTGAACTTGGAGAACGTGCCAATGCGCATCCGCATGAAGGGCCACCCGTTCTCGCCGCTGTACTGGAAGGACACGCTGAACGCGCTCGTGGACCTCGTTCGACAGGTGGGGCTGCCCAAGCTGTTCTTCACGATAGCGCCGTGGGAGCAGTCCTTCCCGTACCACGAGTGGCTCCGCGACGAGATGCACAAGACGCTGAGGACGCGGATGCACTTGCCCGTGGGTGAGACCCTGCACATCACCCACTCGCTCATGCAGATCGTCCGCGGCGTCATCGCAGGCAACAACCAGCAGAGCCAGGATCGGGCTGATCGGAAGTGGAAGAAGCACGTCTTCTCCTGCAAGACCGAGGACGGCAAGACGACGAAGACGGTCACGTCGTTCACGCGCTTGGAGTTCCAGGACGGAAGCCGCAAGGAGGGGACGAAGCGCTACGACGGATCAGGGCGCCCACATTTGCACGTGCTGTTCTTCGCGGAAGAAGACGTCCTGGCCGACGCCAAGCTCGAGCGGCACCTCTTCGCTTCGAAGCCTGATGAGTTCAGCGATCACCTGAAGGGCTACATCGACGGCTCGCAGTTGGACAAGCGGGGCGCTTCCGAGAGCAAGTGGCCGGTGTACAGTGGAGAGCCAGGGTACCATATTCAAGCAGAGAAATTGTTGCTCCAGCATTCCCAGGCCGACAAGGAAGCGGGACTCCGCGCTTTCTGTGTAGACGTCATGGACGCTGTCCCCATCCACCAGGACTGGTTGGAATCGGATGGGGAGTCGCTGCTCTTGCAATACGTCACGAAGTACGTGGCAAAATTCTCGGACTCGAGCTACGACGAGTGGATGAATGACCAGGCGTCCGCGGACAGCGTGGCTCGCAGAGTCTGCTTCGAGTACCACCCGTACGAGCCCGAGATGATTCTGCAGCTCTGCGGTGCGCAGTTCCGCCAGGTCGACATCTCCACGGTCAGCAGAGGGTGGAGGTCGGTGACAGCTCCTTACGTCGGCATGGCGGAGACGCCCGCGTGGGTGGAGAAGTACGCCACCTGCGAGTGGCGGAGCGAGGAGATGTGCCTGCTGGAGTGGCTGCGGAAGACGAACGACGATGGCGGGATTGCTGGGTGGCTGAAAGCTCGCCACAAGGCGGCTCTATACGAGGCCGCGTACCAGCATCACTGTGCCACGTTGACGCCCGGAGGAGAGCCGCCGTCGCCCGCGGGATTTCGCAGCGATCTCCGAAAGCAGTACAAGCAGAGCGGCGAGGGTGCCCCGTTCTTGGTGTGGATGGAGGAGATGTCCGTGCGCGCGGGCGCGAGCGCCGCCGAGTTCCCCTCGCTGGAGGAGTTCGCGCGGGACTACGTCGTGAGAGGCGAGAAGATAGTCGCGGTGGACACGGTGTTCGAGTTCAACGACCCGTACTACGGGCAATGGGCGGCCATGAACGTGCCGTTCCGGGACTTGGAGGATTTGCGATTCGACGTGGTGGACAAGCTCGTGCCGGCGAAGTTCCGGCACCTCGCCGCGGCGCTGAAGCTCTGCGCCGATCGCAGCAGAGTCCCCGAGGAATTCCGCGAGCTGTTCGTCGACGAGAGGAAGTGCATGGATCACGTGAAAAGCGCGGCGAGCTCCCAGAAGTTCAGCGAGAGCAAGAACGACGAGAGAACCGCGCGGGACGCCGAGGCCGCCGTGACCGGGGGCCGCCGGCAGGCGCGCGATGGAGCGCAAGCAGAAGTGACCTTCCTTCGGAAGCAGTTGCACTTCGAGGAGACGGTCAACGAGAGCGTGGACCGCGCCCTGCAGGCGAATCATTCGGAGAACTGGGAGGAGGCAGACGAGGCGCGCGAGGAGGCTTTCCAGAAGAACAAACCGATAGTATGCCTCGGAAAGCCAGGGACGGGGAAGACCACGTCGTCAAAGTGCCTGCTTATCGCCGCGTCGCAGGACGAGGCGCCCGCGTCCTGTCGCCCCCCGACGCGCAGCTGTCGAGTCGATGAAGCAAGTGTCCTGCAGTGACCACCTGGAGAGCGTAAGAGATCGCGACGTTGCCCATGCGGCGTTCAGCTACCCCCCAAAAAAAAAAAAGAAAAAACCATCACAGATCTCACAGAGGCGCTCCCGCTGATGACCATGTACGACCTGGTCGTCGTGGACGAGGTGTCGCTCTTGGACTGCCCGCAGTTCGAGCGACTGATCAAACTGTGGAGCGTGGCAGAGAGAGTGCCCGCGCTGGTCTTCCTTGGGGATAAGTACCAGCTGCCGGGGGTTGGAGAGACGCGTCCGTGGGAGAGCGCTGCGTGGCCTCGCCCGAATTGCTACCACGTGAAACTGGACGAGACGTGGCGCTGCAAGGAGGAACGCTTCCAGCACATCCTGGACGAGCTCCGCACGAGCAAGCCGTCGAAGGAAACGCTGCAGAAGATCTGTCGCGGACACATGGCATGGAAGATCGGCGCGCCGACTCCGGCAGACCTGAAGGCGCTGTTCGAGAAACACCCGGAGACGCGGATTGTGACCTGCACGCGCAAAGGCGCCGCCACCGTGAATGAGGCCGCCATCGTTGCTCTGCACGGCCGGAAGAGTCCCCTGGGTACGCTCCCCGGTGACGTGGAGCTGAATCCGGAGAACTATTGGGACGGCAAATTTCGCACGGACCGCCGGCCCATTCCAAGCGCAGTTCCCGTGCACAAGAAGATGAAGGTCTACTTGACGAAGAACGTGCGCAAAGAGGATGACTACGTGAACGGCATGCTCTGCGAGGTGGAGAATTATCATGCCGACGAGGACATGCTGCGCGTGCGCACCAAAACGGGCCACCGCCTGGCGATCTCTAGGTGGACCGATCGGGACAAGGGGAACGCCGTGTACTTCCCCATCCGCCCGGGGTATGCCAGCACAATAGACAAGGTGCAAGGAGATGAATTTCCTCACATCACGATTTACCTGGACGGGTAACCGAGGGCCGGCGAGCGGGTACACGGCCCTTGAAGCCCGCGTTGCACTTCGGATGACTACTTATCGGCCGCCCGCACGTAGAACTGAATCGCTTCCAGTCCGGCCTTCTGAAACCTGAGAGGCGGAATTTCAGGATGGGGACCGCGGCGGCTCGCCACGGCCGGACGCGCGCCTTGCCCAGCGCCGCTCGCAGCAGCGACGCAGCGGCATCTGTCGAGCGGGACTGAAGTCGTTCTTTGCGCTGCGCGGCAGGATGGAGAAAAAAATCAGATGCAAGAATGTTGCAGGGCCTGAGAATCTCCGAGGAGCCGGGAGACCGCCGAAGACACGCGGGAATGCAGGCTCGTGAAGACTGCCGAAGACTGAGCGTGTAGAGCGTTGAAGATCTCTGAAAATCCGTTAGACCGCCGAAGACTTGCGAGCATGTCAGGCGACGGGCGAAGACCCTGAAGACCGCCGATGCACGGCGGGATCGGATGGCACGGGAGAGCGCAAAATGTAAAGACATGAATTTGGAGACAATACCACAGCAGGGCCGCCAGAAGGCCGGGGCGTCGTCTGGCGTCGAAGACTTCGGAAAAGCTGGAAAACCGCCGAAGGCTCGTGAGTACGTCTGAAGACCCGCGAAGACCCCGGCAGACTTGTGATGCACGTTACGAGCGGACAGCACGGAAGCATAATATCAAAAAACAATGGGGTATGGTGCAAGCAGTATCGGAGCAGGAGCGGGCGTGGCGCCCCTCGCACTTCGGGATGCCTTTGCATATCAGTGGATGCCCAGGATCCAGGTTTCCTTAGAATCTGTTCCAGAAGTCTTCGGAAGCCCAGAGAATGCGAGCGGCGGGAGGGGGAGCGCGAGGGGGCGGGTCTGGCGCCCCCTCGCATCGCGAGCGCATGCTAGGAGCCGAGCGTCCGGACTTCCTGAGGAATCGCTCCAGAACGTTGAGAAAAGCCTAGGAGAGCCGCGTTTCTCCTTAAGAATTTTCAAACGGCTTGCAAGCAATGTAACGCCGAAAAATTTGCAAGGATATTGCATGAGATTAGCAGCCCCAGGCGAGGCGCCGCCCGCATGCGTGGCGCACTTTGAAATTATTGGATTTCCCTTTCAAATTGTTGGGCACACTTGGAAAGCTCAAGAGCGGCCGCATGCCTGTATTTCTATAAGGATAGTGAACAGGTCCCCCAGGGGCCCCGAAAGCTGTAATTTTCATCATAAGATGTTTGCAGCCCCAGAGGTATGTATGCCGGCCAGTGAGCATAGCTTGAAAGCGCATGAAGCGCTTGGGAGCGCTTCGCAAGGTGCTGATAGAGCAGGGAACGCGAGAGCGCCTGGGAAGCGCTTGGGATCAACTAGGGAGCGCCTGGGAACGGCGCCGAGAGCGCCTGGGAGCGTGCCGGGAGCGCTTGAAGCGCCGTGGAGCGCTTGGGAGCGTGCCGGGAGCGCCTGGGAGCGCTTGGTAGCGCCTGGGAGCGCCTGGGAACGCTTGGGAGCGCCTGGGAGCGCCTGGTAGCGCCTGGGAGCGCCTGGGAACGCTTGGGGGCGCTTGGGAGCGTGCCGGGAGCGCTTGGAAAGTCCTTGGGAGCGCCTGGACCGCCTGGAGCGCCGCATGCTGTAATTTCATACGTTTGGAGCACCCAGAGAGCACCGCATACTGTATTTTCATAGGTTTGGAGCCTGAGGGGATGTAGCGACTCGCAGCGAACCCGCTTGCTAGGGCTGAGGGTTAGGGGTTCCTTTTCTTGGGAGAACACCCACGGGGATGCACCGCGCGGCGTGCGAATTCCTCCTCAGCGGCTATCGCCGCTTCGTCGGTGCGGCGCACGCTGTATGGGCAGGCTCGCTGAGCGCTCGGCCAGACGCCACGGGCTACGGACGTTGCAACGCCCGTGGCCTGCAGTTTAGGGTTTAGGGTTTAGGGTTTAGGGTTTAGGGTTTAGGGTTTAGGGCTTCTCGGGCGCGCAGCGGCCGACAGTCCAGGCAATGCTGCCCCCCCATCGGCAAGCTTGATTGGGGGGGCGGTTAGCCGACCCGAGCAAGCTTGGCGAAGGGAGCAGGAGTTGCAACATCTTCCCACCCCCGGCCGCATGGCCGGCGACCTCCCAAACTAAAGCCTTTTAGGGTTTAGGGCCGCTGGCCCCTAAATTCCCAAATGGCTCCAAGCGCTCCCAGGCGCTCTCTGGCGCTCCCAGGCGCTCCCAGGCGCTCGCAAACGCGCACCCAGTCGGTCCCAGGCTTCCCAGGCGCTATTATTTCCAGGCGCTCTCAGGCCTCCCGGGGACGGCGCCCAGGCGTTCCCCGGGCTATCGCTCCCAGGCGCTCCCAGGCGTTCCCCGGCGCTCCCCGGCGCTCCCAGGCGCTCCCAGGCGCTCCCAGGCGCTCCCCGGCGCTCCCAAGCGCTACCCGGCGCTCCCTGGCGCTCCCCGGCGCTCGCCGGCGCTCCCAGGCGCTCCCCGGCGCTCCCAGGCGCTCCCCGGCGCTCCCAAGGCGCCCCGGCGCTCCCAGGCGCTCCCAGGCGCTCCCAGGCGCTCCCAGGCGCTCCCAAGCGCTTCCCGCACGCTCCCAGGCGCTCCCAGGCGCTCCCAGGCGCTCCCAGGCGCTCCCAGACGCTCCCAGGAGGATCTCCCAGGCGCTCACAAGTGCGCCCAGAAGCGCTTAGAGCGCCCCACACGTGTTTTTACGTGTCGGAGACATGTAGAGCACCATCCGAGGACGAAAGGTCCCCGGGTTTAGGGTGTTGTACTTTTCGAAGATCACGCATGGTTTATCTTTGCATCGTAGATCCCCAAGCGTGGGGTTAGGTAGCCCTAGGCTACCAGGACGACCCAGTCGGGCAACCAGCTGAAGCATCTCAGAGAAGCCCTGTCTCTCGTAGACGGCGACGGTGATGCGCGGTGGGGTGGGCAGAAGCACAACGAGGTGCTTGGGAATTTAGGGCTTCTCGGGCGCGCAGCGGCCGACAGTCAAGGCAAGGCAGCCCCCCCTTCGGCAAGCTTGATTGAGGGGGCGTTTAGCCGACCCGATCAAGCTTGGCGAAGGGCGCCAGAGCTGCAACCACTTCCCACCCCCGGCCGCAGGGCCGGCGACCTCCCAAACTAAAGCCTTTTAGGGTTTAGGGCCGCTGGCCCCTAAATTCCCAATGCGCTCCAAGCGCTCCCAGGCGCTCCCAGGCGCTCCCAGGCGCTCCCCGGCGCTTCCAGGCGCTCCCAGGCGCTTCCAGGCGCTCCCAGGCGCTTCCAGGCGCTCCCCGGCGCTCCCAGGCGCTCCCAAGCGTTCCTAGGCGTTCCCCGGCGCTCCCAGGCGCCCCCAAGCGCTCCCAAGCGTTCCCAGGCGCTCCCAGGCGCTTCCCGCACGCTCCCAGGCGCTCCCAGGCGCCCCCAGGCGCTCCCAGGCGCTCCCAGACGCCCCCAAGCTTTCCCAGGCGCTCCCACATGCGCCCAGAGGCGGTCGGAGCGCTCCACACGTGTTTTTACGCGTCGGAGAAGCATAGGAGCGAATTCCAGGTCAAAAGTACATGGGTTTAGGGTGTTATATTCTTCGAGGCCCAAGGGAAAGTTTATCTTTGAATCGCGATTCCCAGGGGGCAGCCTACGGCTGCATGGGCGACCCAGTCTGGCAACCAGCTGACGCTTCTCAGAGATGCCCTGTCTCTCGTAGACGGCGACGGTGATGCGCGGTGGGTGGGCAGAAGCACAACGAGGTGCTTGGGAATTTCTGCGCAGAACCATCCTATCCCCCCCTCCTCAGGAGGTAGGGGGGGATGGATGGATGCGTTCTGTCCCACCCCATCCACCCAGAGTCATTGCTTTTAGGGTTTAGGGATCTACCCCCCACGCTCCCCCCTATCAAGGAGGGAAGGAGTGCTGGCGTCAGCCTGAGTGAGTGATGTGCATCCCAGAAACACGCGTGAACCGTAACAAGCGGGCGGGTCGGGTCGAGCGCACTCGAGGGTTCGCCCGACCTCAACGTGCTTTGCATAGGATTGTGGTGGTTTACATAGCGGGACGTAAAGATCCACATAGCAGGCTCGATCCAGGGGCGCGCCTGGGAGCACGCATGATCAGTTTATGATTTTTTTTGCATGGGATTGTCATGGTTTACATAGCGGGACGTAAAGATCCCCATAGCAGGCTCGATCCAGGGGCGCGCCTGGGAGCACGCATGATCAGTTTATAATATGTTTTGCATAGGATTTGGGAGGGGGGGCGTGAAGATCCGCATAGCAGGCTCGATCCAGGGGCGCGCCTGGGAGCACGCATGATCAGTTTATAGTATGTTTTGCATAGGATTGTTTACATAGCGGGACGTAAAGATCACCACAGCAGGCTCGATCCAGGGGCGCGCCTGGGAGCACGCATGATCAGTTTATAGTATGTGTTGCATAGGATTGTGGAGGGGGCCGTGAAGATCCGCATAGCAGGCTCGATCCATGGGCGCGCTTGGGAACACGCATGGTCAGTTTATATTATGTTTTGCATAGGATTGTGGAGGAGGCCGCGACGATCCGCATAGCAGGCTCGATCCAGGGGCGCGCCTGGGGAGAGCTCTGGGGGAGAGCTCTTGGGGGGAAGCTCTGGGGGAGAGCTCTGAGGGAGAGCTTTGGGGGAGAGCTCTGGGCGAGAGCTCTGGGCGAGAGCTCTGGGCGAGAGCTCTGGGAGAGAGCTCTGGGGGAGAGCTCTGGGGGAGAGCTCTGCTGGGGAGAGCTCTGCTGGGGAGAGCTCTGCTGGGGAGAGCTCTGCTGGGGAGAGCTCTGCCGGGGAGAGCTCTGCTGGGGAGAGCTCTGCTGGGGAGAGCTCTGCTGGGGAGAGCTCTGCTGGGGAGAGCTCTGCTGGGGAGAGCTCTGCTGGGGAGAGCTCTGGGGGAGAGCTCTGGGGGAAAGCTCTGGGGGAGAGCTCTGGGGGAGAAGCCGAGCGGCATCCGTGAGCAGATGGCCGAGGGTTAGGGGTTATCATTGTGCAAGCGAAGCACCGCCTCGGGCCGGCAGGCCAATGGTCGCGGTGAG